GGATAGCAATAAACAAAACCCTAAGGGACAAAACCCTAATGGGCACAAAACCCTAAGGGACAAAACCCTAATGGGCACAAAACCCTAATGGGCATCAAAACCCTAATGGGCACAAAAATTTTAGAAGAAACCTAGAGCTCTGATACCATGTAGAGACTAAGGTTGGAGAGAATCCAATGTGATGTATTCTCATTATTAAAGTCTATATATATAGACAAATATATAAGGTTGACCTAATCCTATAAATAGAAGGTAAATGACAAATTAATATTAATATAAGAATATAAAATATACTAATATATACTTTAACACCTTCCTCGTAATGATTGTAGAATTCAATGGCCTCTCCTTCCTAATAAAATTCATCTTCAATCATGTAGGACTCTTAATGATGGATGAAGGAAAAGAATGACGACCTTATGGTACCTATTTCTTGAATTCGTCGGCTCTTGAAATCTACGAAATTTTAGATCATAATCATAATATCGAGATCAAATCTGGGCCAGATTAATAAACTCAAATTCTTCCTTAGAGTCAGCTATAATCAACATCTCAATCTTGATTTCAGTTGAATCCTGATGTCTGGCTCTCCCATGCATAATATCTCTAACCATGTTTCATGGATTTGTATCTCCCCTTTCTTGCAGAATTTCTATCAAAATGTTGTTTACAAGAATATCACTTACAATCTCTCATTTCTACCTAAAAATAGAGTACTCTAAAGATATCCTCTTGACCTTAGTTGTGTGCTATTGAATATTGAGCATAGCATCACGGAGATCATTCCTGCAATCTGCATCCCGTGGCAACCATCTTTAGCCCATGCAGTTACTTTGGTACCAAATTTGGTCTAAACCAACTCTTGAAGATTTTACTAAAATTTCATAATGCAAAGTACAACATCAAAGAGTGAACTGATAAACTGGTAACTAAATTGAGAATATTTAAAGATACAGAGGCAACTAGTTATAACATCCAACCAGTAATCGAAAAACCAAAATAGCCCCTACATTAGTTCCAATTACCTAAGATATGTTCATTTCTATATTGTGCACAATATTTCTTTCAATCGGCTTACTTCTTCCCAATATTCTGATACAAGACTTGGTAAGGTAAGAAAAATTCAGGTTATTTTATTAATTTCAAAATTATAGTTCACAAAAGGAAAACCATGTCTTTGTATAAAGCTAGGCTAGAGTAATGGGAATCAATTACGAGGTAAAATAATTTTAACATAGGGTAACTAGAAAGCTTACTAAAACAAATTGAAAAAACAATAAAAATAGTAAATAGAACCCTACATTAGTTTGTGACACATTATCGTTACATATAACAAAATCCCCTTCTATATTACTAGATATAAGCGCCAACATTGGATGCCTTACATGAGTATCTCTCCACACTGGTGTTCTATACGTAAGAAAAGTCTTGAAACACAACATCACATCTTTGTCACTTGTGAGTATGCTGCAAGATTTTGGAATTATGTCTTGTCATCTCTTGGGTAGTACACAATCCTCCCAAATAACCCCATTTCTCTCCTATCTAGTGTTCTTGGATCTCATCCTTTTAAAACGGAGAAAAAGCTTCTTTGGATGAACTTCCCAAGAGCTTTCTTTTCGGTTACTTGGAAAGAAAGAAATCAAAGAATCTTCAAAGATAACGAGCTACCTACGACCGTCTTTTTTATGCTATAGTTCACTTGGTTATTACTTGGTGTAAATGCTCTCCTCTTTTCCATTACCATAGCTATTCTTCTCTATTATCCAATTCGAGAAGTTTTTTGTAACTCCTTTGGATTGGGGTTCTCCCCTCTATTTGTAATTTCATAGTATCTATGAAATTGTTAATTATAATATATATATATATAGCTAGTTAAGACAAAGGAACAAACATAAAGATATCATTCATATATTTCAAATTTTTTATTCAATTTTTTTTTCTTCCACAAGCAAGATTATCAATGCATCAAACATCATTTGAATGAACCACTAAACCAACCATGGCATAAGATTGACACAATAGAAAAACAAATAGGATAGCTAAAACACACTCTAAAACACAAACCTTCGTCTTTCCTGAGATTCGATCAAGTTATTATACACTTTCAACATGTCCCATGCTGCAGCTGTCTATCAGCCAAAAGATAATATTCAAATAGCATCTTCAACAAGTAATTAGACCAAAAACAGATGATGTAGGTCAGGAAAAAAATATATCATACATACATGATACAGTAAAAATACAGAATGTCGAGTGTACTGTCACTAGAGAGAACATCACAAAATACCCACACATTACAATCTTCATGAAAAAGCATATGAAAAGCTAACAACCAGAGAAACAAACCAACTTCAGTATACAAACATTTGTAGACCATTGTAGCTCCGGAAATATATATCAGATAATATGATTCTATTTGGTTTTAGTTAAAGGTAAAAGCAGTGGGGGATTTTGATGTCGGATCTTAATAACACATCTTTATACCAATTTGTCATTTATCCATTGAACAGTTCAGTTAAATTATGTGATATCAATAACCATATTATCTATTCCCTACGTAATATCAATACATAGCCAAAGACATGCTTTAAGACAATTATATTATCTAGGGGCAAGCCTTTTTCCGATGCTTTGACCAAGTGTAAACCATTGTGAATAATTAATTATATTTCAGCCAAAAATAATTTAAGTAGTCAAATTTCTCTAGAGTACAAGCCTTGCAAACTCACTAGTTCCATGAACATGATGTGTAATGATCAGAATGTCAGGAATACTTGAAGGATAAAAAATACTATTGGGGTAGTAAGGTTAGGTATATTAGTCTCTCTCTTTTTTTTTTTGACAAGATTGATAATATGAAAAGGAAGAAAAAAATTCATGATACAAGCTCCCAAAGGAAGCGAAAAAATAATAAGAGAAACAATCAAAGGGTAGGTATATTAGTCATTAGAAAAGGAATTGTTTATAAAAAGAAGGAATGGGAAGAGATGAAGCCAAGTAATAGTTTAGTTAGTTAAAAGTACCTCAAATACTTGAGAAGTCATTGTAATTCTTCTAGTTTTATCTTTCAATATAATTTCAGTTGTTTGGTTTCTATCAAAATGCTGTTAGGAATATCATTAGGATAAGAAATACTATTATGGTATTAAGGGTATATTAGTCATTCACTTAAGGATTAGTTATAAATAGGGGGAATGGGAGGAGATGAAGCCAAGGAATACTTTGGTTGGTTTGGGCTTTGAGTGGGAATACTCGAGGGGAGGTTTCAAATACCTCGATTACTTGGCAAGTCACTATAGTTTATAGTTTATCTATCTTTTATCTTTCAATATTATTTAGTTGCTTGGTTTTTATCACAAAGCTAATTTTCTTTGCCAAGGAAAAGGGATACAATGCAGTTTTCAGCCTCGTTTGATTGCAAAGAAAATTACATTCAGAAAGATTACCTGCCATCCTTGGTCAATAAAAAGCTTTTTCTTTTCAAGTAGTGTTGGTGTAGCATTGATACCCAACAAAGCACAGCCTCGACTCTGAATCAATGATGTTCACAGATATATTAAATATTTTCATCTAAATGAGTAGATCGACAATCTTGGAGCCACAAACAAAAGACAGATACCCACTGACTATATAATGCCAACATTAAGTGAAATTACCTAGATTACATTTTTGAGAAAGCAGGCTTTACATCATACATGTACCTATCTGATTCTGATCAATACAATCAGACTAATTTTGATGTAGCTAACTATGTTTAGTTAGTTAGATAAGTTATATTAGTTAGCCTTTTGGTTAGTTATTCATAACCAACAGCTAGTTCCCTTATTTCCTTTTTAAAAGCCGTGTCCTGCAGCCTATAAATAGGAGGCTTTGTATTCATTTAGTGAACAACACTCATTTTAATAAGAATTCTCTTTTGGTTTACACCAAATTGGTATCAGAGCACCAAGATCCTTCGGCACGAAATGGCGGGTAAGAAAAATCCCAATGTTGGAGATTCTTCCCTCATCCAAAAATATGCGGAGTATATCACAGTCCTCTCACCACAAACCTAATTTTATAAATCTGGATTGTGACTCATTTCCTTTTCTTTGCCAAATTTACTTGCATTAGAATCACCTCTTACACAGGTAGCATTTAGAGCCAAACCAAAGAGTGAGCTTCATTATTTTTATACCTAAAATTTCTCTTAACCTTTCTTTGCCTACCATATTCAGACCCATATACTAGACGTGGTTTGCTAGCTAGGACTTCTTCTAAAATACTAACAATATCTTGGGTACTGGCCCCTTGAAAGAGACTCATGACTAGGGATAGTGACACCTAATTTTCCTTTCATCCATACCATGCACCATTTATCAAAACCTTTCTTTCCATTGCTAATAAAAAGTCTCAATCAGCTCTCTATGTTTCTCCAAATCTAATTTTCAAACTCATCCTTCCATTTTCCCTTCTTTCTATCATTTTATTTGCCACTAAGATTGGATCAATGATCTATTTCCACTTTTTTTTCTTACAACCAACAAACTTTTCATTGATAAATAAGAAGTAACATAAAATGTTCAAGAAAACAAACTCTCAGAGAGTGTAAAGAAGAGAACAAATAGAGTAGAAATACTCTAAAGAGGAGAGATAAATTGCTCCGATTCAAATAGAGTAAAAATATGGCCTCTTGTTGGATCTTGATTCGATCAAGCCTTTTCATGATTATTTATAGATTTTTTCAGAGTGCCTCATTCACCTTTTTGCTGGTATTATCAAGGATTTTCCACCTGGATGTTCTTCATAAGACATTATATTATCCGTCAAGAATATTTCTAGTTTATCCCCTTCCCAGTTGGAGTCGTTCTATTTGTCCTCCAGGTATAAAAAAGTAGCCAAAATTCAAGAAGAATCTTTCTAGCTTTCATTGATGTATGAAATTACAAAAAGCCCGTTGAAGGGTGACATAAGACACTTCCAATTAGACAAGAGGAAAGTGTAGCTATAGTGGTGAAAAGTAGGAGAGGTTTTACACCAAGAGACAGCTTTATACACTATAGCATCAAAAAAATGCTCGAAAGATTGTGCTTGTCGTTGAAGGTCCTTTGATTTCGTTCACCCCATGTAGTCCAGATAAAAGCGCGAATGAAATTTGTCCATAGCTGTTCCTTTTCGTTTTTAAAGGGGTACCCCATAAAGGTGGCCTTTAGGAGAAGTTGGGGGTCGTTTGGCAATGCAGTGGACCAACCGAATGCACTGAGGATGTCCTTCCAAAATTCAGAAGCAAAGGTGCAGGAGGTGATTCAGAAGCAAAGGTGCACGAGGTAAAGAGATGTTGTTGAGATTCCAAGCTGTTCTTGCAAATGATTCAAGTCTTCTTTGTAGTTTGTCATTGGTGTTAATGGCATGGTGACTAAGCTCCCATAGAAAGAAATTCACCTTTTTTGGGCACTTTACCTTCCAGATAGTGTTGTAGAGGCTATTTCGGGGTGTTTGGTTGCTGTGTGTGAGATCCTTAGTGAGAGAGCTAGTGGAAAATGTTCCATTCGCTTCCAATTTCCAGAATAAGACACCCCTTTTTGTCGTCAATTGAACCTCTGTGAGCTGTAAGCTAAGGCCTGCCCATCCATTTATCTCATCATCTTTGAGATTCCGCCTTAATCCCAAATTCCAACATGTTGTAGATTCATTCCAAAAATCAAAGATTGGGGCCTCCTTTCTTGATGATAAAGCGAAAAGGTTGGGGAAGGATTGTTTTAGGGGCACACTATTCAGCCAGGGGTGATCCCAAAAAGATATATTCCTGCCATTTCTGGTTTTGTAGGCCAACCGGTCAAAAATCAGATTCTGTAGCTTTCTCATGGCTGCCCAAGGGCTTTTTGCGGTGGGGTGTGACGTAGAAATGAGTTTGAGGTTCCAAGATGCTCTACCTTATTTAGCTTCGATCACCTTCCTCCATAGGGCTGTTTCCTCCTTTAGGAATCTCCAATTCCATTTTGCAAGGAGATTTCTATTTTTCAGTTTCATATTAGCAATCCCTAAGCCCCCTACTTGGATTGGTTGTTGTATAATCCCCAAGATTTCTAATTTTTGGTGGTCTATGTTTAGCCCCGATGCCTCCTCATAAAGCCTAATGATGTTGAACATGTTTGTAAGGGAGAAGTCTTTATATGGGGAGAAGAGGATGGTGTCGTCCGCAAATTGTAAATGACGAATGGCCAAAGAGTTTTCCCACATCAAAACCTTTAATAAAGTTGTTGTTTGCTGCATGGGGCATAAGTCTACTATAGACATCAACAACCATTATAAATAAGAAGGGTGATAGGGGATCACCTTGTCGGAGACCCCTGGAAGTGGTAATTTTATCCCGAGGACGTCCATTGATAATGATTGAGAAGTTTGTTGAGGAGATACACCCTCTGATCCAATTTCTCCATGTGTGACCGAAACCTTTGGTGGCAAGAACCTCATCAAGGAAATCTCAATCTACTTTGTCAAAAGCCTTTTCTATATCGAGATTGATAACCACTCCTTTTCTCTTATTTCTATCCCAACCCTCAAAAATCTCATTGGCTATTAAAGAGGCATCAAGGATTTGTCTTCTGGCCACAAAAACGGATTGTTCCTTGGTAATGGTGAGGAGCAACAAACTTTTCAACCTTTTAGAGAGAACTCTAGCTATAATCTTGTAAAGGCAAGATATGAGGCTAATGGGGCGAAAATCTCCTACCTTCCGTACATCCACCTTCTTTGGGGATGAGGCAAATATACGTTTCATTGAGGCTAGCATTAATTATGCCGTTCTTAAAAAAATCTTGGAACATTCTCATGATGTCTGGCTTTAAGAATGTTCCAAATTAACTCTGCCATGTATCCGTCGTCTGGTCCAGAGACTTGTTTGACCACAATTCTTTAACAGCTCTCCAGCTTCATGTTTCTTATTTTAAGATGCAGCTTTTTGTTATGAAGAATACGTAGAAGAGATCAAGGTTGCCTTTGAGAAGTCTTTTTCTTCGGATCCTTCGTCGATGTAGGGTATGAAGCTAATTGGTGATCCAAACTTTGTAGTTGCTGTCCTTGGATTTCTCTGGCGGTGGTTCTAGGTTTTTTTGTTCTTTTTCTTTCAATTGCTTGTATTGCTCCTTATTGAGCTTGTCTTTTGATCATTCTGTTTCTCTTTTTCTTTCGCCCCTTTTGAGTTTGTATCTTGAACAGTTTCCTTTTCATTGATGAAAAGTTGTAACTTTATCTTGTTTCAAAAAAAAAAATGCTCCCCAATTCGTACCAGCGTCATTATGAGAATCGATTACAACTGTGGAGTACGTTTGGGATTTAATTAGGTTTAATACTTCTTTATGGGGATCAGTCACTAAGATTTGATTAGGCTTTTTTAGGATCCGTTCAAAAACAGCTCTGCAAAAGGAAACCCCTAAAGAAACGGGCTCCAATCCAAAAGAATAAGACCTAACTGATCATTACAAAATGTCTTAGTGACCGATCCCCATAAAGAAGTATTAAACCTAATTAAATCCCAAACACCTAATTAAATCCCAAACGTACTCCACAAATTTCTCCACCCCCTAAACACCCTATTATTCCTTTCCAGCCATATACCCCATAAAGTAGCCAGAAAACAAGCTTGCCACAGAAACCGCCCTTTGTCACGAAAAGACTTCCTCTATCATCGCCCTACAATCTCTGGGGCTGACCCAAGCAATCCCAAAACAACTAAAGAAGCGATGTCATAACTCCTGCGCAAACTAACAGGTCCACAACAAATGCTCAAGATTTTTCGAGGCATTCCTACACAACACACACCACTGCGGGCCAAACAAAAAGAGGATTTCTTCTAAATAGTAAATACGATCCATTGTATTGACTCTACCAAGCAAGACTTGCCACCCAAAGAACTTGATCTTCTTTGGTATTTTAATCTTCCAAAGAGAAGAGAACCAAATGGTCACTGGGGGCCAAGAAGAAGAATCATAAGAAGAAGAAGAAGAGGACTACGACGACGGGGAGTTCAGGACCTGAAAAAGGAGCTACAAGAGAAACCTTTCGAGGGGTTGGAGGACCACACCCTCACATCCTCCCTCGCAAAGGAGAAGGAAACCCCAGACAGCAGATCAAGAAGCGCGGAAATACCCAAATCATTATTAATGAAAAGGGAATAATCATTTATGAATAAACCTTCACTCTGTTCATTATTCAGGGGCTATCATCTTTATCATCTTCAAAAAGTACATTTAATGATAATGAAGATGAGAATCCATCCTTCCTATGTTCCATAATCTCATAATATGACTCATCCATCGAGACCTTTTCAGAAAAGGCTTCCTCTTTTTCCTTTGTTAATTTCCTCGATCATGGTTGATTTGTGCACGGATGGCTCTATATTTGACACAAATACTTTCTTAATGCCTTCGTCTACTACTATGCCATCACCATCTGAGATTAGAAGACAATCAGTCTTCAATGTCTGTTCAACTTCAGCTTTCACCCTCTCTTTCTCTTATTTGGTGATGTATTGAGCTGTCTTTTGAAAAAT